TGAACGAAGTCACGAGTCTGTACATGCAGGTGGTCACGGGCGCATGCGACCAACTTCACGTGTTCACAGCTGATAGAAGTTACAGAACTTATTCTTTCTTCTCTAGTTATAACCGATAGGGAAAGTTATTGTATTATATAAAGCAAAGCTAGTCTCATAAGACTAGCTAAAAGACTCTAGCAAAGCAAAGCAAAGCTACTCTGTTGTAGGTTGGATATTCTGAGAGTGATTCAATCGATTGATTCGCGTTTTAATCGATTGATTTGCTTAAAAACCTTCTTATAAAACTTTCCTAAGTTATTTTAGCTGATATAAAGTCGTTTTAATCGATTGAAAATCTGTACATAACTTTTCAAGTCTTTTTAATCGATTGAAAGTTCATTTTAATCGATTGAAATAAGTCTGATCGGTCATAATTTAATTTTGATCGATCATAACCAACTCTGATCGGTCATAATTTCATTTTGATCGATCATCCTGACTTCCAAAGTGGTTTTAATCGATTAAAACGTGTTTTAATCGATTAAAATAAATCTGATCGCTCATTTTTAAAGTCTGATCGATTATATTTCATTCTGACCTGTCATATTCGAATTCTAATCGGTCATAAAAGGGTTTTAATCGATTAAAAGAAGTTTGTATCGATTAAAATACTGTAAAAACACTTCTTTACGTATTCTAAGTGATTTTAATTGTTTCTTTTAAAACTATATCAGTTAAAAACATTGTTAAGAAAGTTCTGTGTCAAAATGCTTTTGTTTGATTTGTTTAAAACTATTTTTGAGGCATTTTGCAAATTGAGTGAAGGAGCTTCATGCAATGGAAAAAGGTAAAGTGGTTTTACCTAAGCTTTACGATAAGACACACTAAGTCTTCGACTCCATTCTTCGAGTGACTTGTTTGATCGTTGCAGAGTTGACCTTTTTATCTTTGACTTCATCAAATCACTCGAAATCTTTGCTAGTATCACTTTCATACATTACGATTATCTATTTATAATAATTATATGTTGGTATCGTAATTACATATATTATCTTTCCAATAGGTTTAAAATGAACAGAGGAAAGGATATTGCACCGAATTCGTCACCTGTAGTGCGCGAGTTTACAAAATGGACTGATGACATGGACTTTCGGTTGTTGACTGCTATGCTTGATGAGACAAGGTTGGGTAATCGGGTTGATGGTAGTTGGACAACCCAAGCATATAATAATATAGTTAAATCCCTAAGACAGTCTGGATTAATTGGTATAACTAAAAATAATGTTAAAAATCGACAAAAAAGTCTTAAGGATAGATGGCGGGAGGTCCACGATTTGTTTCATGGACTTAGTGGATTCGCTTGGGATGATATCACAAAACGGTTTGTGGCTGAGCAAGAAGTATGGGATGACCTAATTAAGGTACTATTGTATGAATTATCATTTGTTGATATAGCAAAACATAACAATTACGAGTGTTAACCATTCTCATTATTTTGTAGGCGAAGCCTTCTGCAGCTAAATGGAAACTATCAACTATAAGACATTATGATTTGATGGAAGAATTGTGGGGTGCTAATCGAGCCACTGGACATATGGCAAGAACTTCGCGTCAGGCCCGAATGAATATCAGTTCTCGAAGGGCAACAGTCGACTTGAACGTTGATGTGGACCCCACACCAGAGGAGCAGCCATTTCACTTTGGCTTTGATGCGGGATTTGATACAGCCTTATCGATCACCTCCACGCATGGGTTCCGACAGTCCTGCCGAGGGTGCTCACTCAATTCCATCCGTTGCGTCTACTCGGTTCGGGTGGAACCTCTTCATCTCGGGGCACAAAAGAAAACGCCTATGGTTGATGTGATGGAAGGTCAATTTGAAAAACTAACAACGAAGCTGGACACATTTACAGATTACCTCGGGCAAGGTAATACAATCACCCAACAATTATCTGACATAGCTGAAAGACAGGTGGTCGCCATTGAACGCAAAAATGATTTAATTAATGAGCAAGTTAATGTGATGAGACGATCATCAACATTTCAACATTCGGAGTCGATATATGGGACATGTTAGTCGGCATGAACCTAAATGACGAGCAACTTATGCTTCAGATGTTATAATCATTTGTGTACTCACCCATCACATGTTAGACGACTTTTTGGCTTGTCCTCACATCTTCGTCTCTCCCAGATTGTTCATGTTCTTGAATGGAGGTGATTGAATGATCCGAACCTGGAGGACTTGACTCGCAAAAGATGGATAACATTATAATTATTTGTTTGAAGAGCATTAGTGTGCATAGATTTATAATTTTAGTAATCTTTCCTTTAATTATTATTCTATTTTCATTGTATTTTATATTTGTTTTAAATAATAATGTACAATTATATTATTAGTTTTCATAATTATTTGTTATTATCAATCAATATTAATTATTATTTTATATTTTATAATTATTTAATTATTAGTAAAATTTATTTTTTAATATGTCAACATTATTTAAATATGGATATGCAATGGACATAATTTTGTAATTGTTTATTTATATAATTTTTAATAACTATCTAAAAAAAGTTAATTTTTTAAATTTGTTTCCAATTACAAACACTTTTAAATTTATTTTTTCTTTTAAATATATAATCAATGTTAAAATATGGATAATTAATTAAAAAATTATATTTATAATCATTTGAACCTTATTTTATACAAAGGGTAAAATGGTAATTTTTTTAAATAATCAATTAGAATTATAATTTTTATATCTCATATCAATCAAATCATTCACAATTTCCCATAAACTTTCCTATCACTTTCCATTCATCCAAACAACTTTAACTTTATCTCCATTTCTCTTCAAATCCCTCCTTTTCCACTCTCTCATTTCCACTCTCTCAAATCACTCCAACCAAACAAAGCCTTATCGATGATTTTTTTTTTTTTTACTTTGCCTAATTACATTTTTACTTTTATTTTCATGAATTCATTTCAGCCAAATAACTCTAACGTTTAATATATCTATTTTCACACTCTCCTTTCAATTTCTTGCCTTCTCCACCTCTATCAAATAAAGTGTTGATTCTACACTGTACTTGTGAAACAGAAAATGCTCTATCTTTTATCACCCTCTGATCTTGATAGCTAAAAATCAATTTAATGTCAAACTAATTCTAGTTGAGTAAATAATTGAGGCTAAATTTTTCCCTATTGTTTTTTTTTTCACGTTTGAGGCTAAATCTTCTCTATATTTTGGTATATATTTGAAGTTACAATGTTCCACTAAAATAAATTAGTTATTGGTAAAACCGAAAATACTTCGAAGCAATAAAATAGTTATTTTACAAAAAAAAATCTACTAATTATATTTAACCGAACACACATTTCCAATTCAAATTAAAAAAATAAATCTTTGTCATTAAAATTAACAAGGCATTAGTATTAGTAGAAACTGTTCTATTTAAAATACCCGTAAGTTATCTCAATCCATATGTTTGGATTCGTATTTACAAAATTATGGGCCTATGTCTCATGAAAGTTAATGAAATTGGTCGATGACTCCCAAAATTAAAGAAACGGATTTTTTTTATCAACAATTTTCATGTGGTACTTTGGATTTATTTTGAAATGGACTTTGGGGAATGTCAAAAATCCATTCTAATAAAAAAAAACTCATGTATTTTAGAATAAAATTTTCGGAATATCAAAAATCCATTCCAAAATGCATAAGTGATGTTCAAGAAAATTGTAGGGTATAAAAGTCCGCTGCAAACATTCTTCACACCCCACCGTCAGTATATTCTGAGCCAGAGTTTAAGCAAACTTTGACACTAACAACTTTTCTTAATAGGAAACTTCCATGCCTGTTAATTAAAAAAAATGTAGAACTAAAGCATATGTTTAAATTAAATTTTTTTAATTATATTTTCTGCTTTTAGTTTTAAAATATATTTATTTTAAAAAAATATATTTGTTTTTTTAATTCTATTTTCTGTTAATTAAAAAAAGTATATTTCTTTTTTAAAATAGTATTAATTGCACATTTTAACACCCGACTATTATTATTTCACAAGTTATAAAATTTAGATTTAAAACCTAGTAAATTTTAGTTAAACTATTTGGATAGAGAAAATATTTTTAGTTTTAGTTTTACTTTATATTTCCTGTTTAAATTTAAAAATAAGTAATTGTGCAAAAGAATTGCTTGTGTATAGTAAATGCTTTAAATTTTCAGCTAAAATTTTCTCAAGATTCTACAACTTTGTAATATTTTAAAAAATAACATTTATATTTTTAAACTTATCTATGTTTTGAAGACGTTAGCACTTCAATATTGTGTTGGTTTATATTTTAGCGATGAAAGTTAAATCTATATTAATGGGAATTGAGCTATCTTTAGTACAAGTTTGATTAAAAAAAAAAAAGTTAATCTTGTAAGATCCCTACATAAATAAAAGGATACTTACTATTGATTAGCTGGAAATTGAAGCGAATCTCCTCTTTCTCTATCTCCCTGCTCTCGAAACAAATATAAATACTCTGTCCAATACGTACAGATGAAAAACCAGCCCGTTTCATAATTTGAATGCAGCAGCTGCTGCTGACTGATGTGCACAATACACAGCCTATGTTATACAATAGCAATCCCAGCTCCGTGATTCATCCCCTGAAAATATACAGAATAGCAAGGTTGAGGCATCTATAGAAAAATAGCAATGCAAAAGCTTAAGAAAGGAAAGTGAAGCTTACCCCAGAAGCGGCCAACGAAAAAAGGTTACCAGTTGAAATTCAGCAGAACTAATAAAATCTCCTGCGCACCAATTCATTGGTAAAAAGAACAATTATAAAATCAGTTGGATTCAATAAATAAGTAAACAGGTCGATGATTACAAAATTAACTAGGCACCTTTCAGCTTGGCATTTAGCACTGAATCCATTACGACATATAACAGAGAGATGAACAAGGAATCACCATAATCATAATAGCTTTGGAGTAAAATAATAATTCAATGCATGACAATTAACAGTTTGGATCATATTCTTGAAATCGGCTCTTAAAATCATCAACAATTTTCATTTCCTCATCTTTGTTATGTTTGTGATTCCTCCAATCAGCATTATCTGCCATATTGAGCAAGCCGGCCAGAACCTGATTCATGTTTACATGTGTTAACTCTTACTGATAAATACAAAGAGTTGCAATCTTAACAAAAGCATGCTACTATTGATGACCCCTTCCTGAAAAATAATTGTTAAGAAATATATTGACATGATTTATTTATTCAGTGCATCACCCTATCAGAAGGCTACCTCACGGCCAAATTGGACAGGAAATCTCTCGTTCTCTTCAACATGATGCAGCAGAATTGTGCCTCCTGAAACTTGAGCATAGAACAAGCTTGAACCCCCACCAATTTGCGTCCTCAAAAACTTCCTCCCATCAGAAATGCTATCAACTGAGTCGCAATAAAGAACATAGGCAGAAGAAGATTACAAAACATCCCACCCAAAAAACTAAATGACAATCGTAGGGCATTTTCAGAATAAATCAGTTTTTTTAAGTCAGGTATTCAGTGTCTGGTAATTGGTATATTTAGAAGCAAGGAAAAACAAGGAAGTTAAGTGGAAAAAGGATTATGAACTCAATGGATCCAGGTCTGACTCAGACCACGTAAACAATGAAATATGAAGCATAATCTGAAGAATAATACTTACACGTCTTAGCGACAAATTCAAATCCCAACTTCTGTGCAGCTAAATTGAAAACTTTTTCAACCATAACTGCTTTGGAAGATGGAATGGGAATGGCCTACATACAAGGGTAGAAAGTTAATGAAAGAGACCATCTAAAACAACAGTCAATCAAATAAATATGGAAATAATATAACCTTCCAGGAAGAAAAAAATAAAGAAACTTGATAAACAAACTACTAGTGATAGAGCTGAAAATAGTTAACCAAGAACATGGAGAAGAGATTGGACATCTAATGTGGAATTAAGCAAATTATAAAAGGGGAAAGTGGACAGGCAAGAAAGGCAGGGAAGAAGTGAAAGCAAGGCAGATCATAAACCATCAACAGAAATTTTTTTACCTGAAGATTGGCATGAGTGCCACGGATGGAGGCCCACTCAAAAAAGATGACTTCCCTCTCTTGGCTCCTGCAGTAACTTTTGAGACTGTTTTGAAACCTAGAGAGCTCAATTTCAGATTCAGTAGACATAGATAAGGTACTAGGCATATGCTCAACTGGTATTATCAGCGCATGGTCCTCAACAAGTGGACCTTTAGCAAGTGCCAGGTAATAATTTTCCCCAATGCTTATGATTAAATGTGTCTCCACATTTGGGCTTGACAAGCAAAACCAACATTCTTTTGATCTGCAGTTGTATTTTAGGATAGATTCGTCAATGGCTAAAAGCCTAAAGTTAGAGGGAACAATGAAGAATCAAATAAACAAATATGAGAACTAACTGAATGAAAAAATCATTTTTTTTATTGCACTAATATTAACATGATACAAAAACTAACAAATCAAGTATTTCTGAATAACAGAATGTACATTGATTATAAAACATAGTAAGTCCAAAGACAAACCTGCCAGAGCCAGGCCTCCTAGAAGAATGCCTGTCACCTTCATCCTGCAAGCTGTGCTTAAAGTTGCAATCTGGACCCCTTTCACATTTTCCCTTGTTCAAAAAATCAAAACAAACACCTCTCCTACACTGCTCCCTTGCATCTATATCATGTTGAAAATGGCACTTCTCTCCGTGTGGACAAGATCCAGAAGAAACAAATTTGAAACACATCTTATCAGCATGTCTTGTTTCATGTTTTTGTTTCTTTTGGGAAACATCATATCTCCAATATTGAGCATCAGAGTTAGAATCACTGGATCTCTTTGTGGAATCCAATGGAGAAGTTTTTTTCTCCACAAATGTGTAAGGCGATAAGGTGGTATTTGTGGTTTTCACGGCAATCTCAGTTGAAGACATTGTGGAAGCAGGCGTGGGGGAGATTGCATGAATAAATTTCTGGAATGCAGAAGCAAACAAAATGTGACGACACTGAAAAACTATTAACCTTTTAGGGAGAGACAAAAGGGTATGTTAATTTTGTTCATAAGAAAAATAAAGTACTATCTGAAATCAGAGTTATCAATGGCATGCTATAGCAGCATAGAAGTTAGCTGCCCACAGCCGCTATATGCATTGCAATAGCTTCACACATCACTGTAGTGGCTGGCTGCAAGAGGCATTTCATAGCATTCTAGCACTGCTATGCTGATGGTGTCAAAAATCCTGAGAATGGCATCGGACTGCTATCAGACCATCAAAATCCTCAATATGAAGAGGTGTGTTGGAAATTACCTATATCCTTGAGGTGTGTTGAAAATCTTACATCAACTAGAAATATTACTAAATTATAGTATGTAACTTAGGGTACAACCTCACCTTACAAACTAATTTTGTTGGGTTGAGTTAGGCCTCTATCCACATTCTAATTGTTCTCATTCTCAAATTCTTTTATCTTTCTACTGAGTTCTTTTACCTGTTTTCTTTGCTCCATTAGTCTATGTTCTCTGTTTATTGTCTCTCTTGTTTGAGTCTATGAAGGTATTTTTTTGTCATCTATCTCCCTCTGATGGACCTGCACCCTCTAAAGTGAACAACTCGTTTTAGAAGGTAACTAAGCAATCTTAGTCATTAATGAGAAAATTGACCGTCAATATTATGTGCACATGCTAACAAATCAAGGACAAGTTAGAATATCAATTATTGACTTTACCCATGCTCGAGGAGCAAATCCCTCCCAAAGACCCAGTCTCATTCGCTCTTTTTTTCTCTATAACTTGGTAGTTTGGTTACCTTTGCTACTATGTACTTGTAAGTTTGCTTAAGAGCTAAGACCTGTAACTTGTTCTTGTTAATTAGAACATTTTCAAGATTTGAGTTTTTTTTTTTTTTTTTTTTTTTTTACTTTTTAAAGCATCTATGTTATTTATTATGAATTAAATAAACTGTATATAAAAAAAAATCATCTACTATGCACTGCTCAAGAATTTCTGGGATCATTTGCTACACACCATTATGTGGCTTCGGTAACTAGTTCTGAAATTATAATTCCTTATTTAAAGATTTACCAAATTTATGTCCTCCACTACCCTACCCCTCTCTGGAATGTGTTTATATATATATATATATGGAGAGGGATCAAATGACACCACACCAATGTAAGTTCCATCAACTATGACAATTTCAATATCTTTTAATTAGATAATTTATTCTGAAAACTGCTTATGGGATTGAAAGTAATTATTACTTAAATCAAGTCTATGAAAAATTATATCAATATAAAATTATTTGATACCCCATTCATATGCATCAAAATTGATGTAACATATAATTCTTAAAATTTTTACAAATATGAACTGTTTGATTATCATTTTATAGTTGTTCGTTTTTTCTAAAATTTGACACATACAATCAATGTAATGTTAGAGTTAGACTTACTGTTGGAGTAAATTGATTCCTCCTCGTCATATATATGTGTGCGTGGGTGTTTGCATACATGTGTGTGTGACACTTGTATTTTATGACATTTTTACTTGTCAGACAAACAAAAACTTATCTCTAACTTTTTGCTCCTAAGGAAGATTGTTTTCAGAATAACTTGCAATGGGTCTCTGTTCCTGGGACTATAATTGAACCATTGATTTAAAGCACGATTCATAGTTTACAAACCATTCGATAGTAATTGTTGATCCAATATGTCCAGTTCATTATGTTTATTCCTATAATAGGGCAGATTTGATACATTATGCATGAATGAATTTGGTGGTTAATGAATAAACGGATGAGATTGCCACCCCTACTATTACCATAAAAATTGTTTAAGTATTCACAAATTCCAAATTTTCAGTAAATAAATAAAAAGAAAAGTACAGAAAGAAGAATAATAAAGACACAAAGCCAAACCTGCTTATCTCTATTTCCAACAGAAGCAAGCCCTATGAAACGGGTGACATGCACAGCATCAACATTGGTATATGGTTCACGGGCATAGTATATACCTTTAGTGCCTGCAATGTGATAACTACCCCCAAAAACATTATCAGAAAAAAATTGTAATGATCAGAATCAGGCCTACAAAGGCCACAAAAGGCACATACAGCACACCAAATTCCTCCAGAAAACTCAACACAACTCCTGATCTTGCCGATGCCCCCTCATAGTAATTAATCTTTATGCTGGATATCAGTCCAACCAAATCCCATCTTCGTTCTACCACTCGTGATATTGTCACTCCAAATGACAAGGATTATAAATACTATTATATTCTACTGTCCTACAGAGAGTATAATAAACACGATAGAACGCAAAAGTCTCTCAATTGAACAAGGAACCATAGACCTTACCCTGTCAAATATCATGTGCACAATCCAATTCCAAGCAAATAATGTAAAATGAGGCTAGAGGTTTAAGCATGCGATCCCATTTGTTAAATATAAAATGCCTAGGCTGTTGACTAATACGGTAGTTGCAACTTTAGGCAAGAAATTATAGTTGTTGTCTATCTATCAAATAACAATTACCGTGGTTTGATCTCTTGTACTAACTCCGATATGGTTGAATCACTGCCTACAGCATCAGAAACTCCAGCAGGAATGTCCGAAGCAGCTGCTCCATTAGTGACACCACTTGGCCATTCGTTAGTAATGATGAGTCAAGGAAGTGATCACAGCGAAACATCTTAGCTAAGCTTAAATACAATGTGAGAAGTAACTAACATGTAACCAACTAACTGTGTCTCTACATGATGTAATGCACATCAATTCAAGGATATGTCAAGAAAAGATCAATAATTTCAGGTTCCTCGGCAATAGCTCGTAAAGCATCGACATCATCTTCTGTGTAAGTTCCAAACTGTTGAATACTGGATGACTTCCTACCAGATAAATAGGCCACGGATAATCCTACGAACAACTGCCACATTTAAGACACCGAGTTCGCTGGTCCTAATTAAATTCGCAAAACAAAAGAAAAATGTCGGTACCAAAGAGGGGGAATTTGCCACTGCCTTTCAACCAATACAGGTTGTCGCAAACCTTGAAGCCGTCCATCATGAAGCCGCGGTTGGCGGAGTCCTTGGAAGCTTGCAAGAGAAATTTAGGGGCGGCGACGCCGTAATCGCCGACGAAGTATGTTGGAAGCGGAATCTGGGAACCGCCTTCGATGAACGCCGTGAACTCTTCCAACTGTTCCGGTGAGTCCGGGAAGAACTGGCCTACGCACAAGAGCGCGTCGAATGGACCTGCAGATTTGCTCACCTGCAACAACCACATGGAAACAATGTTCCGAGCGAGTAACGATAAAAAGAAACCCTAGATTAGAAGCAAGGAAAGAGAGGGTGAGACTCACCGAAGAGACACGCTTGAAGAGTTGGTTTAGGCGACCTAAAACGTCGCCGCATAGAAGGATTCTCGGAGCCATAATGGAACCACCAGCGCAGAATTGACGCACTCAATTTCAGTGTACTCTACACTTTCAGCACAGTGTTCAACTACATCAAGCACGCTAACGAGCTGGGTTTGGTTTTACTCAATCTCCATAAGGGTTTGATTCTGAAATTTGGAATAGTAAAAAAAATTGAAACTATTTAATTTATAATAGAGATTTAAATTTGTTTTGCGCACTTGTCTAATAATAAAAAAAATTATTAGTATTGTTGGTAGTAGGGTGAGTCGTGGTTAAATGCACAAAATAATTTGTATAAATAATCAAGGTTGTCTTTCTTGTGGTAAGTTCGGTTATGCAAAACGGGCTGGGCCAGTGGACCTCAAAACAGTTAGTGCCCCTCAAATATATATATATTACCAAACTAAGACCATAATTAAGAAACACGTTTAAGATATCCCCTGTAAGAAACTATAAGGTATCTTTCTTCATATAACATTATTATTATAAACCTGTTCATTGAATGGAATAATTTATTTCCCCTATCTTATCAAATTAAATATTCTAAATTTATTCTAATAATTTTATAATATAAAAATAAATATTAGTCCTTTTTTCAATAAAATATAAGGATGGATTAAGCCATCAAATAATAATTTTATTATAATGATTTAAAATTTTTAATTGAAGATTGAATTATTAATTGATTGATTCTGACTTAAATCTCAATGTTATTAAATTTTTAATCTTATTTAATTACCAAATCAAGACTTAATTAATTCTTGATTTTTAAAATCAAAATAATAAATTCATGTCACAAAATACAAAACTAATATTAAAAAAATAACAAATTCAGAATATGCAAAATTTCAATTGATTTGTTTTATTTTAATTTGTAAATTAATCTTCAAAATGAAAAATATAAAAACAAATTGGACTGTAAAAAAGAAGAAAAAAGAAGTAATAAGAACATGAGAAAAAAAAATAATAAAATGATTTCTATATTAATTCATAACATATTTAAGCTCTTTCTATATTCTAACATAAAGTAAACATAAATCTAAATGTAACTTTAATTGTATCTATAAGTTTAATTATTAAAATTAAGTTAATAAAACAAATTAATATATATGATTTTTTTTTAATTTTAACAAATTTGCATCTTATATATTTATTTAAAAACTATTAAAATATAAAAACTAATGCAACTTAAAAAAATCAAAATAAATATCTACAAATAAAATTATGATAAAACACAATAATAACAATAAAATAAAAATACAAAATTATATATTTTTTAATTTATCACTATGGAATAAAAATAAATTTATCACTAAAAATAAATAATGAAAATTACATTTATCATTTAATAAAATTATAAATATCTGTTATCAAGAATCACGCGCTTTAATATAAAAGTAGAAACAGTGCAGTAAGGCAAGACTTTAGTTCTTTCTTTTTATAAACAAATTAAAAAACATAGAAAAGAGTAAAACTTTAGTTGGAGAGAAAAAAAATCCTAAACGGTGAATTATTAAAATCCGAATAGATTAGAATCTTAGAATACGATTTTAGCACATTGAATGAAATAGAACAACACTTATTGATTCATGATTAAAGTATTCTTTTGTGTGATAGTGGCTGGTGAGTGCTAAACATTGGTTCTTTAAACGAAAATAATTGACTGGTTGGTCTTGGTCTTGGTCTTGAGATGTCCCATGCCAAACCACAAAGTTGATTACACAATCCACTTGAACGTGAACAGATTCAGATTGTATGTTTTTTTGTGGAACATTGACCGTGTGACTTCATTTTCAACAAGTTCTTATTACTAATGACAAGGAAGTTATTACTAATGACTCTGGTTGAATATCATGTTTCTTTCCTAGACCTTACGTATTTTTAAGATGCTAATATCTATATTATGGTATTTATATTTACTATCCTTTAATGGTTTAATTTAAATATGTTTTAGATTAAGTAATCAAAATAAAGTTAATTTTGAAAAATATTTGAAATTTGATTTTGTTGATTTGTGTTTTTTAATTATATTCGTGAAATTAAAATTCTTTTAAAGAGATTTATTTTATTTAACCTATATTTTTTAGTGTAACTCATTTTTTTTAATATGACTAATTTGATTTGTATTAATATTTTTAAAATATTATTTTTTTAAACTGAAAAAGTATGGGTAACATCATTAAATTATAGTTAAAATAAAATGTTTGAAATCTTATACTATTCTTCACAAAAAGTCGAATCTTCCTTACTTTTTCTGGGTCCTGTGTGAGTCATTAACGCACTGTTATATCTAAATACTAAGGACAATTACTAGCACTTTACAAAAATAAAGTAATAGTTTTTATTTTTGAAATCTTATAAATAAACAAAATATGTGATTAAAAAAAGACAGATCTTATAACTAAACTTAAAAGTAAAATATTAATTTTATTAGAAATGATAATGTCATGCCCCCTTAAGAATAAAATTGAAACTGTATCCTTTCTTTGAAGAAATTTAAATCAATATACCTCTATGATATTAATTAAAAATTAAAATCTAATATTCTATATTATTAACACTAGTAAATTTGCATTATTTAATAAACCTTTTCTATTTATTGAAAAACACTCGCAAATATTACACTAATCATATTCTGGCATTATCAAAGAAGTCAATTTTACTTCGCACCTCCATTGTAAATAAATAAGAAGATAAATGTCATCACGAGACAAAATCATAATTAATTAGTGATAATTAAGAGAGAAAAGACTTATCCAAATTGTCTAACAAACTGTAACACTATTGTTTTATGCCTGACATTTATAAATACACAAGGTGGTAGTTATTCTACTTATGATAGAATGAAATCAGATTAATTATTAATCTATGATCATATACCTCCATAAGCTAGCTAATTCAATGTTGTTTTAAACCTTTTCCTCAAGTTAATCAATGATATAGTTCATTAAATCGATGTTGCATATAAAAAAACAAAATCTCTAATAAAATTGATAAATTACGTCTCGATTGATTTAAAAAAAAAGTTCAAATGATTGTTAGAAAATACATGGATGGCAATGTGGTGGCCCTTCCTAATTTGGCACGCCTCAATTTTATATGAGACTTGAACAAAACATATTACAGTTAAAAATTCCTAACTCATTGTAGATTGTAGGGGACACACCTACCACCGTATAAACTACTAAAAAAATGAAAACCAAAGTCAAGTAGCAATCAAATTGGTTGGGTTGTAAGGAGAAAAATAATGAGAAAATGACCACAACAATAAATTTAAGACTTCATGTGCAGTGTTGGGTGTGAACTAATTAACTAACTTGACTTCTAAGGAGTCAAGCATAGACTATTATAACATCTACTCGCGCACCACAATTACATCGCCTAACTGTTCACAGTTTATAATACAAACAAAAACACGTGCCACCTCAATCAACATGCATCACATGACAACCAAACCAATACATGCGTCGCACTTTTAAAAACTGAATCACATTGTTTTAAATTGATAATTTTTTTCTTTGAAAATTTTTCAAATTGATAACTGAAAATAAAAACATGGGTTTTCTTTTATTGTAGTTTGGCTCAGTTATTATTATTATTATTAAAACTGAATTGAATGATAAATTGATGATTTTTTTATGCGTGTTCAACATATATATTAGTTATGGTAAAGTAAATTTTTTTTATGTGAGAGATTGGAAATGCTGTTTATGGCTTTGTAAATGTCAATTTCATTTTTCAAAAGACTGATTATGACTTAATTAGTTAATCCTAATTTTTATTTAACTATCATTTTTGTTCTATATTTTTTTTTTAATTTAAGACTATGTTTTTAATTAATTATGCTGCGAATTCTAGAATATTTAGTAGCTCAAAGTTCTCAGTTTTCATTGTTCCGACTCATCTGCATCTAAACACAATAATCGAAGCTCTTTCCATAAAAACACTCTCTTCTAACATACTAACTCATATATTAATACACACCATCTCGACCTTATCAGCAGTATGATCAACGTGGATATCGTGATCTGTAAATAAAACTCTTTTTCTCTTTTAGCATATGTTTGGATTAATGAATTTACTGTTGTTGAAGAAATGAAGAGACCGAATTGAGAGGATTAAGGTGTCGTAATTTATGAAAGAATAAAATTTGGTAAAGTTGTTCTCATGATTTGATTTTTTTTTTAAGGTAACAAAATGTTGATTTTATTAGAAGGGATTAAAAATTTTTTATTTTATCAAAATGTTTAAATAGTATAAAATGAGAGGAGTTATTACGAATTTTAACTAAAATTGTATTACCTAGCACAATTTTAGTTCTGTAATTTTTTTTAAAACGTCTTTGATAATAAGTTGTAAATAATTTTTATTGAATTCTGCTACTAGTACGAGTTTTATATTTATAAAAAATAGTTTTTTTAATATATTATTTATTGAATAATTAATTTTAATTTAATTATTAATTTAATAAAAAATAAAAATATTTAAAGGAACATAAATAAATTTAATTCAGTATATTTATATTAAAATATTATATTATTTTAAAAAATACAAATTCACATTCACACTTGTAAATGCAAATAGAAACATATTTATATTGTCATTATGTAAAAATTATAATCAATAACCTAACTTGATATTTTCGTGTTACTCATGTATTATTAATTTAAATAATTGACATAACCATTCAAACGGTCTATTTTAGAAATAAATTTAGATATTTTTTAAATAATGTAATATTTTAATATAAATATATAAAATTAAATTTATTCAGGTTTTTCTAAATATTTTTATTTTTTAATTAATAATTAAATTAAAATTAATTATTTAATAAACAATATATTTAAAAAATAATTCTATTTAAAATAAAATTAAACTGTACTAGTAAAAAAAGTTTAATAAAATTTATTTGACACTAAGTACTATATTTTTTTAAATAAAAAATTTACACAACTAAAATTACAACATAGCACCATTTTAATTAAAATTGTTCTTTCAAACATTTTTTAATCGTGACATCTAGTCTATCTTTCACTATTTAACCCTCATAAAATTAAAAAATTTCAACCCTAAAATTAACAATTTTTTGACCCTGATAAAAATAAGCCTCATGATTTCATAAGGTATATATGGAGGTGAGTGAAGCAACGGAAAAACAATCCTTTAAAGGGATTAATTAAGTAACTTGGTTTGTCTCTTTCCTTGAAGAGATTACTCCACATATTCTTCATGGTTGGCCTCCACCGTCAGTCCGCTACTCTTTCGGCTACAAATGCAGGTAAATAAATTCTATCACCCAGTACAAAATTCCCCAAACATATTATTTTATTATTTTCTTCACCAAAATATTCGTACTAACACGTTTTCGTTTGAGTCCACATATATTGAGAATCCAATTTTTTAAACCACCTTTTAATAACGGAATAAAAAATATTAATTTGCATAGTAATTTCTTTTTATCCTTCACGTCTCCATTTCACTCTCTCCCTCTCTTATTCTCAACTGAACTCTCACTCACTATTAGAAAAATGGTTAATAGTGACCGAAATTAGTAACCGAAAAATTCAGTCACTGATATTAACTGAATCAGTTACTGATTTCCGTTTTATATTTAGTGACTGATTTAGTGACTAAAATTTCAATCACGGAAATCGGTCACTGATTCCGTCACAAAATCAGTCACTGATTCAGTCACTAGTAGAAAAATGGTTAATAGTAATCGAAATTAGTGACCGAAAAATTCAGTTACTAATAATAACCGAATAGGTGACCGATTTCTATTTTTATATATAGTGACTGATTTAGTGACTAAAATTTCAGTCACTAAACAAATAATATATAAAATAGTGACCATTTTTTATTTATATAAATAATTTTTAAAAATATTTTAATAATATATTAAATATAAATCTACTTAATAATTTAAAATAATTAATAAAAATTGTAATAACATTATAACAAATTTAAAAAATAGTTTATTAACTTATTAAATAATTTAGTAATATAATTATTTTATTTTATTTTTTAATTTAGTACGTTAAAATTAATTATTAAATTAGTCACTCGATTCAATCATTAAAATAATTATTAATTTAATCTTTTTTATATATATAATCAATGATTAAATTAATTATTAATTTAGTCTCTTTTATATATATATATATATATTACTTTTATGTTAATAAAAATGTATTTCAATGTATTTATAAAAAATTAAAATTATTTTAATTATTGAATTGATATTTTAAATTTATATTAATATTTTAAATAATTTAGTAATTGGATAAATATTTTAAGTTTATATTAGTATTTTTATAAAAGTGTAAAGATTAAGTGAACTTATTTTAAAATTTAATTAAATATAATAATATAATATACTATTAACCATAAATATGTGAAGATTTAGTTAGAAATTAATTTTAATTTTTATCGTTTTTATTTAAAAAAATTGTTAAAAAAATCAAAATAATTAATTAAAATAAAGAATTTTAATTTAATAAATGTGTTAATATTATTAGTTATTGAAGAATTAAATTTATAATAATAATTATATAAAATTATAGAATTAATAAAATTTAAATTATTGGTATTTTTTTAATCACGAAGCTAAAATTTGATAATATTAATAAATTAAAATAAAAAAAATTATATATATATATATATATCACTTTAATTATTTTAATTAAAAATAATTTCAAAAAAAAACTAATATTTGAAAATAAAAATGCAAAAGTATATAGGTTTTCTTTTATTTAATTATATTTTTATTTTTTACGTTTTGGGTTTTAGTCCATAACAACAATTTAATTGCTCTAATTTCCACAAAAATATATAATTTCTCTTATTAACAATTTTTTTTAATCAGATTAAGAAAATTATTACTAATAAGATTCAAAACAAGTACCTTAGAGTTAGATATTAATACTCCAACCACTAAACTGTTAGAATTTTTTAATAAAAATTTACAAATAAATTATATTTATATACAAATAAATATATATCCGTGTAAATATATAAATATAAAATATATAAATACAAATATATTTATATTTTTTGATATATTTATATATTTATATGTTCGATGTGAGGATCACGCTAGAGGGTGAAAGTATGTGTCGAGTGAGTTTTCAAAATTTGATGTCAAATTTATGAGCGAGTCTCTTTATATGGATTTATAATTTAATGATAGAATATAATCTTTATAATTTATTTATATAATGATATTAAATAATTGTTTTCTTTATTTATTTTTATTTTATTTTAATTTATTCTTTTTATCTTTTTTTCTTCTATTATTTAATTAAAATTCTTATATTAAAATAATTGTTCATTATTAAAAATAATTAAATATTTATTTTTAAAATTATTTTTTAAAATTATTTAATTTAACAAATTATTATGAATTAATCTATGTCTCGGAAAAAATAATTATTAAAAGATGATTTTGATTAATTTATAATAATATATGTTAGGAAAAAATTGTTCTATTAATAATCATAATTAGATTAATTTATAATAATTTGTTAAATTAAATAATTTTAAAAATAAATATTTAATTATTTTTAATATTGAAAAAATTATTTTAATATAATAATTTTAATTAAATAATAGAAGAAAAAAATATAAGAAGAATAAATTAAAATAAAATAAAAATAAATAAAGAAAAAAATTATTTTATATCATTATATAAATAAATTATAAAGATTATATTATGTCATTAAATTATAAACTCATATAAAGAGACCGCTCACAAATTTGATATCAAATTTTTAAAATCTACTCGACACACTTTCACCCTCGAGCGCGCCCTCACATCCAACATGTATATATATATATATATATATATATATATATATATTTGTATTTGTATATTATATATTTAATATTTATATATTTACACAGATATATATTTTTATTTGTATATAAATATAATTTATTTATAAACTATTATAAAAAATTCCTAGTAGTTAAGTGATTGGAGTATCGATCTCTAACTCTAAGGTACTGGGTTCGAATCTTGTCAGTAACTATACTATAAAAGGGAGATTAGAGAGTTATAAAAAAATATTTTTAATTTTTTAATATTTTTGTTAATTTTTTAATGTTTTTGTTAGTGACCGATTTTGGTTGGTTACTATTTTGGTCACTATTTTAGTTAGTGACCGATTTTGATCATTTAGTGATCAAAAATTCGGTCACTATTTGATGTTTTTGTTGTAGTGCTACTCACCGGTTGTGACTGCATCTTTTCTTACAATTTTCTGTCAACTCTCATTATCCTTCACATCTCCATTTCACTCTCTCTCTCTCTCTGAATTCTTAGTCGAACATTCACTCACTGACTTTCACTCACAAGTTGTGACTTCATTTCCTATTACAGTTTTCTGTCAGTTTTCACTAACCATTTCTTGGCATTGCTTTAGTTGCATCTCGTTCTCACTACTCTCAATCGCACGATTAATATTTTGAGTTGTTGTTGCGTATTGCTTCCAGGTTGTACTTCACACTGCTTTCGCTACATTTGATTGTCACTACTTTTAATCATACAATCGCTCCCCTTGGATCTACTGTGTCTGTCTTGTGCTAGGTTTAGTTAAGTGAGGATTAAGGTTAATTTTTGTTGATTTAGGTTTAGGATTAGGGTTAGTGTGTTGTGTAGTCACGATTTAGGTTTAAGATTAGTTTTTGTTCATTGAATGAATGAATGAATTGTTTGTATTACTATAACTATACCATTGTATTGCGTTTGTATTGCGTTGTTGTATGAGTGAAATTTTGGACGTTTATGATTTCAATTAGTAAATTTTTGTATTGGATATTGGAGTTGATATATGACTTTTCTTGCTACATGTTATTAACCATTAATAATCAAAATGAGTATATGCATGTAATATATGCATTTGTTGGACTTGTAGTAAATGTCATCATAGTAAATAAATTGTATCCTATAAACTTAAATTAAATAGGGTTATATGTATTTGTAGTTCGAAATAGAAATACATGGAATGATAGATGATGAATCTTCAAATGTTAAGAAAATGAATATTATATCTATTTGTATAATATTGGATATTCTTGATAATAATTATAATTATTTATTATAATTTTCAGGTATATTTATGACATGTTTATAGGACAAATTATTTATATGAAGTGAATAACATTCTAACAAAAGAACAAAGAGGTCGTTTTGAGTCAATACCATTTAAATGGTTGATGCCATTGTGAATTAATAAGTAGATGAGTTGAAAAGAGAGGAGAATTTAATATAAGGTTTGAAATAATATGTTTTACACTCGTAAATGTGTACTTAGGTTTAGGACTTTGTGTAGTAGGCGAAAATGTTAAAATTGTAGAAAAAGACATTAGTTATAATATTAGGAAAATATTTAATGAGAAACATGTTACTTTGGAAATGATTTTCAATAAACTTGTTAAACGTTAAAATAACAATGATATCGATAATTTTTGTTAGTTATACATACTTATGTTAGAGTTTTATTTCTAAATAAATTAGTTATCATACATTTTAGGTTTTTTAAGTTAATAGATAATATATCTTGTTTTAAAAAATATAATTAGATAAAAATTATGTATAAAATTTATGAAAAACATTAATTTGTTTGAAAAAGTAAAGAAATTGTTCACAACTTACATATATTAGATATTAGGATATGTGTTTTTGTTAAGTGTAAATTCTAAATTATAATTTATATAGTACTCGTCCGGACCCTCTATTGGGAAAAGACTTAGAGGGAGCGACAAGATTCAGAATGGTGACATCATGACGAAGAGCGGAACAAATTCCTCTCTTTGGCTGCGTTTCGCAGCTCACCCTTTCACCTGCGAAGGTCAGCAATTCATAAGAGCAGAAGACTCTCATTTAGCTCCAAAATGATCCTCCTGCATATTCACACCGACGATCCTCACCTATCTTTTAATTACAATTTTTACTCTTCAAAATTACAATTAGACCCATAAAATTTTTAATAAAATCATATTTTAATTCCCAAGTTGTCATTTGATGTTTAATAATGAATGTCAACAAATCATTTTCGTTCTGGTTTAAAACAAGGTTGAATTACCGAGTAACGTTTTGAAAAAATCATTACCCGTTGTTACTGAAATTTATCAACCATTTTATTTATTTTCTATCAAAATTTTCTCTCAATGCTTTTCTTCTGTTATATCTACTACCTTTTCTTCTACTCTTAACTTTTATTTCTCTTTGTGGGCGCTCGTACAAATAGTGAAGGTTAGGGAAACAATGAAGTGGTGGAACGTGGAGGGCCTTGGACAAGAAGGAAAAGGACAAAGCATTAAAAGAAGTAAACGTGAAACGTCAACTATAAAACAGCTACAGTGTTTCGTATCTATGTATTTACACCGCACCCAGAAGTTTCAAGCTCAGCTCAACTCCCAGCAATGGCAGATCCAGCAACTTTCATTGCTAGCTGGATAACTCCCTCTTCCCTCTTCATCTTCGTTAACCTCATCATAGGAATGGTAGCAATCACTTCTCGCTTCACTCCCAAAAACCACGATCACCACCACCATCATCTTGTTCGTTCACCCTCCCTTCTCCAGCGAGTTAGGTCCTTCAATCTCACTCACTACTATAGCCATCACGACCAAGAGTGCACTCAGCCCCAACTTGTTCCAACACCCTCAGTATTGGAGCGACTCTCGTCCTTCAATCTCTCCTTCCACAAACACGAATCCACACATGCACAAACACAAAGCGTCCAATCCGAACATTCCGAAACTAAAACCCCGGAACTGATTCCGACACCCTCGCTGTTGGAACGACTCACGTCTTTCAATCTTTCCTTACAAGAACAAGAATCCACAGATGCACAAACACAAGGCGTCCAACCTGAACACTCCGAACCTAAAACCCCGGAACTGATTCAGACACCCTCACTGTTGGAGCCGCTCACGTCTTTCAATCTTTCTCAACACAAACAAGAACCCACGCATGCACAAACACAACAAGTGCAAGCCGAACCCGAACATGAACAGCCGGAACTGGTTCGGAGTCCCTCGCTCTTGCAGCGGCTACAGTCCATAAACCTGTCGCGTCTCTACAGATCGGAGTCCACGCACGGACAGGATCCGGATTTAGGGGATCCGGGTCGGGGGTCGGGTAAGGCGGAGATGCGGAAATCGGCGAGCGAGAGGGGGGGTCGGATAGAGCGCGAGGAGGAAGATGAGGTAGAGAGGCGGAGACCGAAAACGGCGAGGGCTGAGACGACATCGTGTAAAGAAGACGAAGAGGTGGACGCCAAAGCTGATGATTTCATCAACAGGTTCAAGAAGCAGTTGAGGTTGCAGAGGATTGACTCTCTTCTCCGTTACCGAGCAGGTAACTGCTGATTATCCATCACAGAACAAAAACAGGGCATAATCGTCACTGAATCTACGTCGTCGTATCGTCAAGTTTATTGTTACTTTGTAGTATTATTATAATGTGTGTTATATTATAGTGTGTATTTTTATCAATAATAGAGTTGTTTTGTTATTATATATATCAATAAACTCATATAACGTTACATGTGTTTTGTCTCTTTTTATTTCTTTTTTCTTAGTTATACATTATTTATTAAGCACTTATTATACAAATAACACTGTACAGTAACGAATTGCAAACATGTAGAATTACAAAAAGTAATGATATCTAAAAGAAAAAGGAAAAATATTAAAATAATGATTTAAAAATGTCTTTACTCTCTTATAAATACAAATTTATTTTATTTTGATTTTCCTTTTTTAGGTTTTAGTCTTTCAAAATTCTAATTTTTAATTAACTTCTATCATCATATATTTAAGCATATCATATCAATAAAAATTTTATTGTAGCATTATTATTAGATCAACATATAAAAAATATAGAGAGAAAAGGAGAAAAAACTATTAATATTATATTTGGTTATAGAAAGATAGATAATTTTTCTATTTGTTTATATATTTTTCTAATCGTGTCGTCGGGGATGACAATTAAACCTCGTCTCCGTAGGGATCGATCCGTCCCTTCCCGAATTTGACTGGAGAAAACTCGAGTTGACCGGGGCGGGGTGGGTTCGGGTTTTCCCGCTTTAAAAGTCGGGCGGGAGCGGAGATGGGTAATGCAATACTCACCCCGCCTCGTCCCGCCCGACTTTATATTTAAATTTAATTTTTAAAATATTAATATTTTAAAATTATTTTCTTTTCTTTTTCTATTACATATAAGGTCATTTTTTTATATTTCACCAATTTTTTTTTCTTCTACCTATTTTTTAATTTTTTTGTCTTTTTTAATATTTTATATCAATTAATTTATTATATTATTCTCTTTTTTATCATTCGAGTTTTTCACATTTCCTTAATCTCTCCTATTAATTTGTTTTTTTTCAATCTTTTCAATCAATTTGATGAACACAAAGTTAATTTTTTTTATTCTTTATCTTTTTCTAAATATTTTACATAAATCTTAGTAATAACTAATATTATTTTATTTATAATTTATATTTATTAGGTTTTATTATGTCATTTTTTTATCTTATTATTCTTATTTATCATATATCAAATTTTATCTTAATAAAATAATTATATTTTAAAGGATTAAATGAATTGATAATTTAAACTTTTATTACTTTGAATTAATTTAATAATAATTAATTTATTAAATATTTTCTTATAAACTAAATATTTCATATTTTTAAATGACAACTTAAAAATGAATTAACTTATATATATAATCAAATGTTTGAATACGAGTATTATAATAATAATGTTATAAGTATTCAAATATTCAAATATAGTATTATAATAATAATATTATTATTATAAATAAAAAATAATTAAATATTTCTTTTAGATACATATTTTAATATAAATATAATAAATTAAAATGTATATTTAATTAATAATAATTATAACTTATAAATATTTATTTATATATAAAAAATAGATAGTAAAATTAATTTATTATAAATATAATTATTTTTTAAAAATAATATAGATCGGAGACGGAAACCCAAAACCCAACGGAAACGGAGATGAGGACTTAATTTCTAATCCTGGCAGAGATCGGGGACGGGGACGGAAATGATTAAAAAAGTCAAGAACGGAGACCGAGGAGACAAAACTCAGCCCCCGCCCCATTGCCATGCCTATCGTCGTCTCTATACTCGTGAGCTTGAATAATCTTTTGATTTTTGTTGATTTAAGAGTAAAGTGTTGCGGATATCATGATTTCATGGCCAATGAGAGATTTATCTTACTTTAATCTATTTTGTTTTGATATAATTATTCAAATGAATTTTTATTTTAAATTATTAAGTGAAAAGATAAATAAAAAAAATAATTCTATGATTTTTACTCAGAGGAAATAAAGTCTCTTCTTTCTATTCATAATTAGAATTAGTAATATAAACTAAATACTTCATTCGATTTTATTTTTCTAATGCTAGTACATATTACTTCATGACATCAAATTTCAATCTAAATAATTTTCTAATCATCACTATTTTCTCCTGATTATACAATTATGAAATGGCATTGGAGGTTTTAGAATGTTCTTGTGCATAAAAATAATAAAATAAATGAAACGGTTAAAGTCTGGCCCCATATAGCACAATAATACGTTCCTCTGTTTGGGTCTATTTGGATCGGACATACCTTTGAGTCCAGGATAAGACTAATGCTAACGTTTCGGTCTTATTATTGGGCTAGTAGTAATTTCCTCTTTACATATTCTTTATCTACCTCATATTTATTTGAAAAATACTATTTGTATTAATTTTATAAAATAAGTGATTTTTGGAGTATTTTAGATTCAAACATTTTAATTTTTTTTGGATGAATGGATCCAAAAATATATAGTTTATGTATTATGGAATCTAAAATATAATTTTATTATTCTAAAAATATTAATCTAAAAAATTTCTGAAAACTAAATTCAATTTTTCTTATCTGTATAATTTATGTTTTAAATTTATTCGTTTGAATTTTTTTCAAAAGAAACTTAGTTTCTGAAAGAATAATCCAGAATATAAGAAAATATTATTTTTTAAATAAATGCGAAATAAAAAACAATACAAGGATGAAAAAGAATATATCTATCTTCTTAACATCATTCAGTTAAAGACAAAAAAATAAAAGATATAACTCAACAATATGTATATATTTTTATATAAAAAAATCATTTTATTTTTGTTCGTCAAAACTTAATTTACAACATTTAATGAGTACCTTCTTTATCTCAAACCTACTATGGAGTGCAGCTATTGATCTGGATAGTCTCCTGTTTAAATTTTATTTTGTTTAATATTAAATCTAACTACTGAAATAAAAACAAATTAGAATTATATAAAAAATGGAGAAAATGGTGCCTATTTAGTGAGATAAGGAGTTTATTAGTTTTTATTAACTCAATATATTAACTGGGAAAAACAATATATAGTTAATGTTGGATTAAAATAAATAAAAAGAAAATCTCCTTTATATTGGAAAAAAAAGGTTCATAAAAGAAAAATAGCTTACCAACCCATAAGTGATTTTTTTGACGTGTAGCATTATTTTAACATAAATTTTCATATATCATGTTATATATAGATAGTTTTTTAAAAAGTTAAAATAATAATTGTTAGAAATTTTATGTTTTAAATCCATTAATATATATATATATATATATATATATATATATATATAAAAAAATTTATTTATATAATTATATTGTTAATATATTTTTATAAATATAATAAATATAAATATATTTAATATATATATAATATTTAAATATTTATTTATATAATTATATCAAATTAATATAAATATTCTTTTTATCTATCATAAAAATATATTTATATAATTATATGTTTAATATATTTTTATAAATATAGTAAATACAAATACATTTAATATATATATAATATTTAAATTTTATTTAATATAAATTAGTTGAAGAAAAAATTGATAATTTATAGGATTAATAAATCAAAAATAAATTTATATAAGATATTATATAAATAAAATTTACTTAATAATAATAATAATTTTGATGTAAAAAATTAGAAAAATACAAATAAATTACAATATTATAGATTTAATATTTAAATAAATTTAATAAATATGCATTTATAATATATATATATATATATATATATATATATATATATATAATAAGATATTTAATAAATATATATATTTGTATATCTAAACTTACTTACCATTCACATGACCACCTAACTCTTCCTAAACTCTCCTACCACTCATATAACTATCTAACTCTTATGTCATATATTTGTATATCTAAACTTACTTACCATTGGTATGACCACCTAACTCTTAGGTCACTCACATGTCTACCTAAACTCTCCTACCACTCACGTGCCTATCTAAACTTACTTACCATTCGCATGACCACCTAACTCTTATATCACTCATATGTCTACCTAAATTCTCCTACCACTCACATGACTATCTAACTTTCATGTCAACCTAAACTCTCCTACCACTCACATGACTACCTAACTCTCATGTCACTCATTACTATATAAAGTCTACTTTATCATCACTTCTCACACAAATTACTCGTACCTTACCATCATTCCCCACACAAATTCCTCATAAGTTCAGACTTCCTCTATCTCCTCTCTAGTCTTCTACACTTTCATCATTTTTATTTTTTTTTTCTTTCATATGGATTCTTTCATTCGAGCAATTATTTTTTATGATGGTGACATTGTGACTTGCCTTCAAACGAGGGTTTTATTTCGTAGTAACAATGTTATCATGATGCATATTCATAAAGGAATGAAATTTGAGCATTTCAAACAAACGGTTCTATAAAAATGTGGTCAATCTCCCCATGAACAACTTTCAACCATCACGTATAGATACCCCATCCGAGTTTATGGCTCAGATACGTATTACACTACAACTACGCTTCAAGACGACGAAAATTTACAAGGGCTAATCAACATACAAAACGCAAACCCAACATTGGCTGGAACTGAGATATGTACAACCTACCATAGAGGCAATCTTTTTGTTCCTAACTAATACCAAGATTAACACCATCACTCTCAAAGACAATCCGTGACACAAACATTTGATTTGAACAACACCTATTTAGGGCAATGGGAAGTTGATGTACAATCATACAACCAACTTCTAACTGGTCCATCTACATCAAATGTTTTTCCCTTCCTCATCAATGATATCACAACACCATTACCTTCTTTTTTACTCGAAAATGAGATTTTAGGATTTCCTTCAGCATCTTTAGAACATTTTTAGTGATGATGAGGACGACATTCTCACACAACATGCACATGAGGATGATGACAACTTAGAGGTTCCTCCCATACAACAACAATCTCAACATCATT